GTTTATTTTATTTTAAATAAATTTTGAAATCCTTGTTTTGTTGTGTGTTGTGGATTAATTTATTAATTAGTTTTCGTTAATTATTTCGGCGTAGTCAGTAGCATTTTAGTGTGCAGTTTCCACATTTTAACGTAAATTTAGTAATATAAATTTTCGTCAAAATGTTGAAAAAGGAAGAACCACCCAAGAACCCCATTAAAATGTCTACTGTTTCCGGAAAGCTATGTCGTGAAATGTTGCGTGCCCATAGACAGGTGAGTAAAGAAATTTCTTCAAATTTTAGTCAAACTACTCATTTCGTTTATTTATTAGGCGCCAAGAGTTGTACCAGCTTTTTCCTATCAAGCTTTACAAAAGAATACAATTGTTCTTCCTCCACCCAAGTAAATGCAATTCCTCTAATTTTTTTCGTATTATATGAATATATATATTGTAAAAAATGATAGTGGTAATAGAATAGGTGAAATTCATAACCCCTAGGTATATCTATGTATCTTTTTTATCTATATGTGCATCCGTATTATTACATGATACAGAACCGCTATCTGTTTTTAATTTTTTCCCGACAAATTTGACCCGGTTTCACAACATTTTATATTTACTTGATAACAACATATACAATTTAAAAATCGATAAAAAGTTCTTTTAAGTAAACAGTTTCTATGCATTCTTTTCAAAACCATTATCTAAACCTTTTGAGACTTTCGCAGAATTAATGTTTACCAAGCACGTCCAGTTAAGCAAACGAATTTCGAAATTTATGTTCTTCGTGGAGATATTCCTGTTGTCAAAGCTACTCAAAAAAAGCGTACTGAGCGTACTGCGGACAACAAAATCGAGAAAAGTGAGCGGATTAAAGGCAGTCCATATTTGCTGAAATGGTTATGCCCACCTCAAAACTTAGATTATTGCTACTATTTTCCAATTTTTATAGATGGGTAAATTAAACATCTTACTGCAGGTGAATAACTCTAAATATGCATTATTCAGACTTGCAGATAATAAGCCAGAACTACGCCTACTGGCAAAATATGCCGCCATTGATTTAATAAACAAAGGTCCCAACAAAATATTACCAGTATTGCCCCGTGTTATATTGCCATTTAAGAGAGCATTCAATACTCGACGTAAAACTATTATTATTGATGCTCTTAAGGTTTTACAGGAGATGGTGCGTGTTGGTTAGTAGAAATAATACTCGCATATTTATAGATAAATTTCTTTTTTGCTTGTATCAAACAGCTCCTTGTGTTGGACAGGCCTTGGTACCTTACTATCGACAATTACTGGGTGTATGCAATCTCTATAAAAATATGAATGTGAATCTTTTGGATGGCGTTGAAGCGGACCGTTCCAAACGTATTGGAGATGTGATTGAGGATACCTTAAAACTGTTGGAACAATGTGGTGGCCCTACAGCTTACTTGAATATTAAATACATGATTCCGACTTATGAAAGTATGGTTTCTCCAAAGTGCGGTATGGAAGATTTCGATCCAATTTATGGAAGATAGTAACCTTCAGACTTTAAATTGATATGTTACATGTTGATTTTTTTATAATGATATGCACACTAAATGCACTAAAATTACAAAAAAATCACAAGTCAACTGCTTATGTAAATTCGAAGTTTCAGCTAAAATTCATTTATTTTTCAATATAAATCAAAGACTACGCCGAAGTCAATGTGTCTGTGCGTATCCTTGTTACTTTTTTATATATAATATATATTTTTTTATAATAAACCGAATTCATTGCATGTGTGAGTTGTAAATAAGATATTTTCATAAGCACTTATCTTTTATTCTTTTTAGAAAATTAAAATTGATTACGTTATGCATTCATCAACAGTCCTTTTTAAGATAAAAACATGTTTGGTATATCTAGTCACATGCTCTTCCTTTTCGTTATTTGAAAACACATAAATAATTATACAAGCTCACAATTTATAATATATACAAAGATCCTTGCTTTATATTTAGGTTATTCAATTTATAATTTCTCTTTACAACTAATAAAATTCACAATTATATATATACAATAAAATTATTATAATATAATAATAATAATACAAGTTTTTTATTATTGAAATAATTTTCTCATTCACTTATTTACTTACTTGCTTGTTCCTTCGAACAGTGGTCATGGCCAACGTTGTCCTTCAGCGGTCAATCCAAACATCTATTTCTCTGGAATGTTTCTCTCTAATATCGGAATGAATTAGTTCATCTGCAACTCAAACTATATTAAATATATATTAGTATATACTCAATTATTACATGACTTGTGAACTTAATTATACGGTCTCATCTTAGTAGTTACTTTCTTCAAACTTCTTGTTTGATAAAGTTTGACAAATTATTATGCGGAGACTTATGTTCAAGCACCGTTCATTAACTTTTTATTTATATACTATGTTATATCTATCTAAAATATAAATTCATTAAATATTGATAAAAAAATGAAACACCATGGAGCAAATGTGGCTAACTCTGCCAATAAATCAAATTAGGACGTTTCGTTACCCACTAATGTATCCTGGAAAATGCAAACATTCGTGCAATTTATGGACTGATATCTTCTTCAAAAATGATGTCATAGTTAGTGACACCCGTAACAGAGTTATAAACATGTATGCATTTTTCTATGCTCAAACCAGCTTTATTACAATGAGATTATGCTATATCTGTATTGTCAGATAAATCAACTTGTCATTAAAACAAGAGTTTGCTGAAAATATTGTCTCTCTAAATGGAGGTTAGCATGCCTTCTTACAATATGTTATTTCAGTGGTATGTTTACAGTCCTTGGTATATATGGACAAGCCAGTAACACTTCTGGCGTTCATCAAGTGTACAATTTACGAGATATAGAATTACATTTAAGCACATTTAAATTTATAAATTCATTCATTATTCCTTATTATAAATTTTTAATGATAACACTTTCCCATAGTTTAGACAATATTTCGACTAATATTCTATCATATATGTGTATTTCAATCATATACCATATAGTACACATATAGTTTTTTTCATTTAACTCTAAACTCTATTTACTTTGAAGTATACATATATATACAATATATATAATGTTTATTGATATAATTATCGAATGCTAAGTTTTAGCATTTGTAGTTTTTTAATTGTGTGACGCATTCTTTTTGATATCAATAAACTAAACGTCCTTTGTCTTTACAAACATTAAGGATATGAAGACTCTTTCAACTCTCAAATTTATTGTCTCATTGTTGGCTATAAATGTACTTCCATGTACTGAATTACTTGAAACCAAATATAGACTCCGCAATGACAGAACTCGATGTATGATATATTGCCTGTGTACATTTTTAGTATCTGTAATCCATTTTCATGTCATTGAACATTCCCTACGAAGTACAAACATTTCAATTTTGAGCTTTGTTTACTGTAGCACTGAGATATACGACTAAGCAAAAGATCGACCCAGTAACCCTGATAGGCGGCAATCGTGCCTCGTATTGTTAAAAATGAATCGTATATCATCAACTTTTTAGCAAATATTTTGCCGATAAACATTGTAATGAAATATCTGCGCACTCGATATTAAGGCATGTCATAATGTCAGTAAAAGTATTCGTATTGTTTATCAAATATAAATATTAAGTTAAACAATAAAAATAAGACATAAGTATTATTGGAAATTAGTTTCGTACCGCTTAGGGAAGTCTCTTCCGTAAGTGATCAGAAGAAAGAGCGCTATAAATGCTGCTGCACCGGTTTGAAAGTCCAAAAAAAGGTGAATATGAATTGTAATGTATCAGTATCAATATGGTCACGACATTACTTATGCCACACTCAGTGTTTCCACTACGTAGCCACGGTATATGGTAACCTAATCGGCTGCGTGCGTCCTAGCAACGCTTTATGAAGATTATTGAATTATGAGCATACGTACTAATTTCATATCGGCGGCGGCATATAAAAAGTCTGTCTAATAAAATTTATGTAGCTTGCATTATTGGTTGCAGTACGTTGCGAATGGGAAATCGTAACAATATTAACAATTGTCAATTTATAATTGAATGAAGCCATTTGGTGCTTTGGTAGCGTAGTTCACGTATTTCCAATAATTTGCACAAAAGCAATTCAACTGACATTTTTCATATTGTTTTTGCGGTAGTTTCGACGATTATTGTTAATAGAAATATCAGCTGAACGTTTCTCATATACATTGTATATATGTTAAATGACATTAAACTGCAGCTGCAATCGGTGCGGCAACATCTGACAATTATTGTATATCGCCAACGTTGAATATTGTAATAGCGTGTTTTATTAAATTTAAAATGCCAACAATAACATAAATTTCACTGCAACACGCTTTGAATATGCGATGCACGCAACATTTCTGCAATTTCTGCAAGTGCCACTATTGCAGTCAAGTCTTATTAATGAACTGCGAACGCGTGTGCAACACCAATCGACAGCTTGTGCCTTGGCTGCAAAGACACCTACCAGAATGCCATATCCGTCCGCACAATAAGTATCTGGTCAGAAAGTAAGTGAACGGTAGCATCAGGGCAGTGTAGTTACGATTAAAGTGGAAAATAGTGAGGCGAATTGCGCATACTGCTCCAAGTAGGCTTTAGCGCCACAATGTGTTGCACCGCCGACCGAGTGCATTTTGTAAAAGTCGGCATATTGGCATAACAAAAACGGTACACTAAAAAAATTAATTTCTCAGTACACAAATGAGCAAAAGTAATTAACAGAGAGCATAGAAAAGGTGTTACGTTGCGATAAAATCAATCTTTCTTATCTGCATAAAGCGTAGAAATTCCGACCGAGCGAACATTTGTTGGAATTGTCAGAGACCTGGCAGCACCACAGAATCTGCCTCCACTGAAATCTGCATCGCGCTGCTCATATCTTATCACCAAATGCAAGCACAGTTAGTTTTTATTAACAGTAACTCCGATAATAAATAGTTTGTGGATTTGGTCTTTTGGTAAAAATAATTAATGAAAATATTTATGGCAAATGTTTCAAATTCGAAGTGGTGTGCAACTCGCAATTCCAAACATTGAAGCTTATTTTGTGGCTAATTTATAATTCCACAATTACAACTACAAGAAACGAAAAAAATGTCTACATGAAACTGCATGATCCGAACCAATGGAATTATTATTTTATTGTTTCAGAGTATGTTCTTAGTGCTGTTAGTAAGCACTACGCTTTTTATTTTATTATGTGTGTATAAATATTTGAGTCAAATTGTGCATTAATTGCGGAAGTGATGTTAAGAGATTTAATAAAAAATCAATTTTCATTTTAATATTACGTATATAATATTGAAGCATATAAATATCCAAAATTAAGTTTACTTCGTAATAAAAACATTTATTATATTGCTGGTTTATGACTTCGTTATAATATATAAGCATTCTAACTAAACTTCAAGTCATCAAGTACGGCTTTGTGTCGGTTGGTTAATTAACACTGACTCTAAGCTGGAAATTGGGCAGGGTAGTAGTCTCAATAAATAATTTACGAATAATTTAAGATTATAAGAATTATTTCTATAATGTCCACTAGTTATGGGTGTTTGGCAATACTCGAAACAACTATTATAATCAATTCAAAAATCAGTTAATTAAATAATAAAAAAATTTGTTGTAATTCACTAGCGTTAAAAAAACCTTTTTGCCTATTAAAATTAGTTTCTATTAAGAAAATAGAGTTTTTCATCATAATTGACTTTAAAATCAAATTTCAATGTTTGGATTTATTTCTCTAGTAAATAATGTTAAAGTAAAGATAATATTAAATAATGTTAAATTCTACCAGTTAAAGTTTCATTTAAAGTTTTATCAAAAAAACAAAACCTTTAGGGAATATCTAAAAGATTAATTTTAAAGACTATATAGGTTTTCTATACAAAATAATATATGAATTTATACTGGCGTATAGCACAAGTCTATTATAATTTGTGGAAGTTAAAAAAAATTTTTGTTTAAAAAATAAATGTTGGTAATAACCTTCACTTCACTTAGCATATCCTAAGTCCAATGACCATTGCATATTCCAAAAAGAAGTTTATGACAAAAAGCTGTATGAGCAATTTTCCATAAAAATTTTATTTCATCTTGAACTTTGACATCATGTGAACACATTGCAGCCTTGAAAATTTGAATTTTCTAGTTCCTTTCAATTTCGAAACCATTTTTATTTGAATTTTCATTTGGTTCTGGTATTTTTTCATACGTGTATGCACATTTTAAGGCAAGGTAAGCATAACACCTCGAAAACCAAATTTTTAATTTTGCAATGCAAAAACTACAAAGTTAAGCGAGAGTTTTCATATGGAATTGAAATTCCCTTTAGGTTTTTAATTTTATCGCTTTAGAATAGAAAAATACCAAAAACCAAGCAATAGCGTTCGAATTGATTAGTTTTAGTAAATTTCTCAGTCTGTGACACGTCCACTATACATTTTAAAGAATATGACCTTAAGGTATCCATTAGGTAGGTACTTAATTCTTCTCTTCTATGTTTGTTTTTAATTAGTAGAAATACTATATTCATAATATGACAAATTTATAATACAAGTTTTACAGACTTAAAATTTATTTCATTTAAGACTTAGATTTGTCCTAGACTAAGATACACACTATTGGAAAAACCAAAACTAAAGTAAATGGTTGGTTTGTTGGTCTTAATGGCAACAGAACTTTCGATTGTATGACATTTGTTGAACTAAATATAAGGAATAATAA